TTATATCAGAGGACAGAGACACCGCTTACCGGCAAAATTTTCTTTTCGCTCGAAAGATTTTATAAACTAAAACTGAATGATACTTACAAAGATCGCTATTCTCGCCATCGAGTTGCAAGTTCCTTGCTTTCATAATAACTATTGTCAAACGACTTATCGTCGGTAGAAACTGAAGGCAAAACAGTAACTCTCCTTTGTGAAGAGTGGGCTGCAAAAAATCAAAAGTGCAAAATTGTTGTCAGCAGCGATAATCGCTGTAAAAGGAACAACGGTGTCTGTAAGTAAAGTTTACAACATGAGCGGCAGCGAGAGCCGCAGGCGAGTGTRAAAAATAACATGAAGTTGACGCGAATGTTCATTGAAAGAATAGCACGRCGATGTACCGMGGATATTTTGAATATAATCATTACCTTTGTCTCCTCTTCACCAATGATATCCATCCATACTTCCTTCTTTTCTCCTGTTATCARTTCGACGTCTATTAAYGGATATGTCACGTGACCGATGACTTGCTGTCGCGAAAATCGATCGAAATCACAAATAGTGAGCCTTAGAGTTCTTGTGTTCAATTCATGCTCGGGTACAATAAACACAAATTCTTCATTAAACTCAGGATTGGAAGTCCGATGTTGAATTCGTGACTGTATTTTACGTCTTTTATCAGGCAACAAACAGAGTTTAATGTAAGGAGTGGTAGTGATGTTGGTGCCTTTTGGCATTAGGCGAGTTGCTCTTATCAACGTTACTTTCAGKTTTTCAGTATCTTTGTCATATTCTGTGGAGAAGCAGAGTCGACTTTGACCTGTGTAGGGTGCACCAGGAGAGCACTCGTTGTCTTCGCGTCTGTAAAAAAGCGCATTAGAGAGCATTACTGTCTATCACCTGTCATTCATCTAATCAACAAACTATCAATCTATTTGTCTCATTATATTCATGGCCTCTGTTTGTCTCTATCCATACTGTCAAATATGAAGAAACATGTAACACTGCAGTACCGACTGAAGGAAATGATTTCACAAACAACCCAGGAATCTGTACTGACCAGGATCAAGTGTGCTTCACTAGAGCGGATTTCGTATGACTGGGACACCGTTACC